ACACACACACACACGCACACACACACGCACACACACACGTACACACACACACGCACACGCACACACACACGTACACACACACACACGCGCACACACACGCACACACACACGCACACATACACGTACACACACACGCGTACACACCCGCGTACACACACACGCGTACACACACACACGCGCACACACACACGCACACACACACGCACACACACACACGCACACACACACGCACACACACACGTACACACACACACACGCGCACACACACGCACACGCACACACACGAGCAATGTAATCATTTCAGATTCGCTGGACAATCAACAGCAGACCCTGGCGCACGGCAGTTGCTGTATCGTCTGTCCTGTTGATTCCCGAGGTTCTGGCACTCACGCAAATGGAACAAAAGAAAATATTGATATCAACAATTTGTGACCCGGTCTAAATTTATCCAAGTCAAATTTTTTATTGCCACCTTATGTACGAATTTGTATCATGTGCCAGCCAATCGTCACCATCATTATCCCTGCGGGGTGGGTGGGTGGGGGGGGCGCTTCGCTAAAATCAGAACCGTGTTGGGGAGAAGATATAAAATCTGGAGGAGGGAGGGGGGAAACAAAAAAAACTTCGAGAATATTCAGAGAAATCTGAGACACGCATCTCACGGCCGATGGCAGATCTGGGTTAAGTGGGGGGTAGTTCGATTTAAAGCTTTCGTGACTGCAGGGATTCATCTTCTTGGTTCCTTCGGTAAAGTCACGTAGAAGGGAAATAATAAAGTAATACAAATAAAACATACTAAACTAATATAATTCTCACTATTTTATTATGTTTTATTTTTATTACTTTATTATTTCCCTTCTACGTGACTTTACCGAAAGAAGCAAGAAGATAGTGGGGGGGTAGTTTCTAGATCCGCCCCTGTCCACAAATGAGCAGACGCGGCTGCGCAGCACTTTGGCGGTGACTCACAGCGAGAGTCACTCAACATGATTCTGTGGAAACTCAAGATCGATCATTGGGTGGCAGGGGTGGGGTAGGGTGGGGTCATCGTAATGTGGAACTTCCACTGTTGGTTCAGGGTCCGTCACTATGATCGGCGACTGCCCAGGAGATGACGATCTTCCGAGTGTGTCGACAGCACTCGGACTCGGACTTTTAGTTTAAATAAAAGTACGCGCGCGTGTTGTCTAATCGACGTGTCCCACTTCCTGGCTGTCGGTGTATTAATCCCAGGCACGCATCAAGTTTGCATGTCACCACCAAAGACAAAGATCCCCCGTATAGCCTGTGACGGATTGTTGGGGCAAGTGCTGTTAGCGAGCACCTATGAAGGCCGGCACGGCGCACGAGGGGGTGGGTGGCCAGCACCACGCCCAACCTGCCTTTGTCTCCCCAGTGGCGATTTTTACTCATTTGAGGCTGAGTCGACCTAGGGGAGGCCCAGGACCGGTTCAGAAAATCGTCACTGATCTTGGCCGTGAGTAGGAATCGAACCCGGGTCGCCAGGTTCGTAGCGCAGCGCGCTGACCGCCACCATCATCATCAGACGTGGGCACATTGATGATGATGAAGATAATGATGGTCGTCATCGTCATCATCACCGTATCGCGTCGCTCATTACAACGTCGTGAGGCCAGTGACGGACATCAGTGACAGCACCGAGGTGACAATTCGCGATCATGAACCAAGTTCGTCGCAACTTCGAGGGCCCGCGCAGAGGAGGGATATCTGCGCGTGAGATCCATGTCCCTCTGGTTGGCCGCGGACTTTCCACTCGCCCGCTGTTGTAATCTCCCCATCGCCGATCCCGAGCCAGGAATCACTCCCCCACCCCGCCCCCCACTCCCCACAACCACCACCGCCGCTGCTGCTGCTGCTGCTACAACTTGGCCACTCAGTCCGACACCCACCATCACCCCCAAACCAACCTCGATGCTTTCAATTATGGGGCCATTTTGTGGCACCACTGAAAAGAGACACCCACCTATTGAATTCGTCGTTGTCATCATCCTCCGTGATCGATCCACCGCTAGATGGGTGCCTGCCCCAAGGAGGTGTACTATCCATCGCGCTCCTGCGATGCGGCAGTTTCGCGTCTATTGGTGTCTCTGTAAATCTGCGGGCATCTATGTAAGTCCATGGGCATCTACGTCGATATAAAGGTCCCTATGCAAGTCTGCGGGACTCTAGATGTGTCTATAGGTCTCTACGTAAGTCCATGGGTGACTACGCATGGCCAATACTTAAATCGCACTCTGTCGAGTGAGCGGATGGCTGAGTGGATGGACGGATGAATGCGCGGTCTTTCCGTCGGCGTTTGTGAGATGCAGGTCCCTGCTACCTCGTTTCAAAACGCGCACGCGACTCCGCCGGCCACGAGAGGCCGCTAAGCCTTGTGGATATTTAAAACAACTCAAGAGCTGAGCAATGACGGCCGTCTTCTTCCGAGTATAAGACGGTGCTGTGTGTGTGCGTGTGTGCGTGCGTGTGTCAGACCGTGAGATCTGCGTAACTTTATCGACACCGGGCACGACATTGTTTTCGTTGTGATCGCTTAGTCAAACCACTCACGGAACGAAGGCCCTCTCTCCGTGTCGTGTCGGCCATCGAGGTGGTAGTGACCATACTTCACCACGCTGGTCATTGCGCCCAGGAACCGGTGGAGTCAGAGATCACTCACCGCCGACGTGAGCCGCATGCCGGGAGCCGAAATGACGTCACCGGGTTTATAGCGCGACGTGATAACCGCTGCGCCACCGCTCCCACTACTGTGTGCAGGCAAAAGGCGCAGGACCTGCAACTGCCCGCGCACGTCACTGGTGGACGGATGTGGCCTCCCACTCGAAGGGACTCTGGGGGGGTGTTTGGCCTACTCTTCCACGCTGGTCAGCACGTCTCGGAAGATGTGGGATTACCCACACTGCACCCTGCCGCACGCGAACTGCCAATCGTCCGCATAGGTCAAGGGGTTACAATAATATTAAAGTCGCACTAACAATGCACTTTCTTAATCCAGGAAAGCCTCACTGAGTCTCAAGACTCGTTTCCAAGAGGATCCCTGCCACGTTGTGGGATGTTTGGCCACGAAATGCCGTGAGATGTGGACATTTGACTTCGTGTGTTGGCAGGAAACAAAAAGAACCCGGAGATGACCCCCCACATCTCCGCACAGATGGATGCAATAAAACATTCACTGCAACTGTCTGGCATCCGCGCGGGGTTTTTTTGAGAGTTTCACAAATCTGTGTGGGTTTGTGTGTGTGTGTGTGTGAGCCTGCAACCCTTGCACCCCACCCGATGATTTGCATTGATCTATCAGAAACAAGGACGCGATGACGATGTCATTGATCCCTTTTTTTCTCACCAAAAATCGAACCTTGGATCAATGAGTCCAGCGGGTTGGTTTGCTGTGCACGAGGGAGCGCCGCTGTGGGTGACCCCACTCCTGCCTTGCACAATCTCGGGACACACTCACACTTCCGTCAAATGCACACAACACACACACACACAAAGAACCCCCGTATAGCCTTCACAAACTGGGGGGGGGGGGGGGGAAGTGCTGTTAGCGAGTTGCACCGAGGAAGGGGTAGCACACGGACATACGGGGGGGGGGGGGGTTGGGTGGCAAGCTTACCACGCCCGGCCACCTTTGTTCTTTGCAATACCGATGTTTACTAACACACCGGGTACACGTTTGAGGCTGAGTCGACTTAGGGGAGGCCCGGTACCGGTTCAGACATTAGTCACCGATGTTGGCCGTGAGCGAGAATGGAACTCGGTTCGTCGGCTTCGTAGCGCAGCGGGCATTCCACGACACAACCGCTCCCCCACACACCCACACACACACACACCCACACACCAAACCACACACCCAACCACACACCAACCCACACACCCACACACCCACCCACACACCAACCCACACACCCACACATCAACCCATCAACCCACACACCCACCCACACACCAACCCACACACCCACACATCAACCCACACGCCCACCCACAGACAGACAGACAAAACAAAGACAAAGATCCCCCGTATAGCTTTAACAGACTGATGGGGCAATTGCTCTTATCGACCATCTATGAAGGCCGACACGGCACACTCACACATAAACACATTCACGCTTACACATACTTGCACACACACACTCACACACAAACACATTCACGCTTACACATACTTGCACACACACACACACTCACACATAAACACGTTCACTCCCCACTTGCACAGACACACACACAGCACCACCATCATCATCATTATCTCGAACCCGCCCAGTGGGCCGGCCGATTTAAAAACCCCGCATCTCCCAAACACCGTCAGACAGACAGCCAGCCTTTCACTTCTCCCACTCAGCCACCCATGCACTCCGCTCACTCACTCACGCACCCGCTCGCCACGCACACAGAGTCTCATGCCCGTGCCACACTCTGCGTTTGCATTAGAATCCCAGCAGAAGGTACATAAATAGAGGACGCATTTAAAAACACATCTCCATGTAAACGTTTAAAATACATATTGTACATTGTCAAGCTCTGCTGCGCGTTGTATGCTACGCGAGATTATCTGCCTGCATATCTGCAATTGCATCTGCGTGATAAATTAGGTGTCGAGCATTTGACAAGGTTCACTCAGACTCGTCTCTGGTATAATAATGGTTAGCGAGCACCTATTAAGAGCATCGTCACCATCGCGCACACGACCCTAACAGCGTCTGTCGCACTCGTCCTATGCGACTCACACCTGTGTGCGCCCCACACACACACACCTGCACGCTCCACACACACACACACCTGCACGCTCCACACACACACACACACCTGCACGCCCCACACACACACACACCTGCACGCCCCACACACACACACACCTGCACGCCCCACACACACACACACCTGCACGCCCCACACACACACACACCTGCACGCTCCACACACACACACACCTGCACGCTCCACACACACACACACCTGCACGCCCCACACACACACACACCTGCACGCTCCACACACACACACACCTGCACGCCCCACACACACACACACCTGCACGCCCCACACACACACACACCTGTACGCTCCACACACACACCTGTACCTGCAAGACGACAACGCGATGGGGGCAAGCGGAGCTCTCTTCGCCTGTTACCTGCTCGCATCGGTGGCGACACCGCGCGTCGCTCGCGCGGCACCGCGCCCGCCGCCTCGACCGGCACGTGACTCCAGCCCTCACCTGGACAACGGCTGGGGCGGACAGGTGCGGCTGAGGCACCTGTACACGGCCAGCCGGAGCCAGCCGGCCTGGGCGGCTCACCTGCGGCTACGGGATGACGGCCGCGTGGACGGCGTGGAGCGGCAGAGTGCGCACAGTGAGTGGCGGGTGTGCGTTACGCGTGGGTTGGGTGTGGGAAGGGGGGGGTGTGTTGGTGTGTGTGGGGAGTGTGGGGAGTGTGTGTGGAGAGTGTGTGTGTGTGTTGGTGTGTGTGGTGAGAGTGTAGTGTGTGTGGGGAGTGTGTGTTTGTTGGTGTGTGTGGGGAGTGTGTGTGTGTCAGTGCACTTGCCCCTACAGTCTGCCAAGGCTATACGGGGGATCTTTGTCTTTGTGTGTGGTGAGAGTGTAGTGTGTGTCGGGGAGTGTGTGTGTGTGTGTTGGTGTGTGTGGGGAGTGTGTTTGTGTGAGTGTGTGTTGGTGTGTGTGTGTGTTGGTGTGTGTGTGTGTTGGTGTGTGTGTGTGTTGGTGTGTGTGTGTGAGTGTGTGTGTGTGAGTGTTGGTGTGTGTGAGTGTTGGTGTGTGTGTGGTGAGAGTGTAGTGTTTGTGGGGAGTGTGTGTGAGTGTTGGAGTGTGTGTGTGTTGGTGTGTGTGTTTCGAGTGTGTGTGGCGCTAGCCACCCACCCCCTCGTGTGCCGTGCCGCCCTTCATAGGTGCTCGCTAACGGAACTTGCCCCTAAAGTCTGGTACAGGCTAGACGGGGGATCTTTGTCTGTGTGTGTGTGTGTGTATGTATGGCGACGCTCATAACAACGAGCGGAGCGCCGGGTGGCTAAAGCACAGCAAGTTGGCACAGTAGGGGGCACAGGTGGTGCATCAGCCACTCATCTCAGTCAGTCGACCCGTGGCACCTGGGGTCTGCCCCGTGACCTCCTGCCAGCGGCCGTTCGACTGATAATCCTGTCTGTTGACACTCGGGGTGCCACTGATCCGTTGTGTACGTTTCTGCAAAGTGAAAAAAAAATTGACGGCGAAAGGTTTTCAAAAAGTAATTTGCCCTAGCGAAACAAATTTCGCTCTAGGAAATTAATTTTAATTTCACGTTGATTTCTGTTCGTGTTACCGTTTCATATTCATTCTACCGTACGGCTGTTGTTCTTGGTACGGATTTCCGTTCGCTTCGTCGACTGAACGTCGCCTCTTTTTTACGCGATTGCTTTTGGCCATGTCGGTGACCCGGTTCACCTTTGTGGGTGACACCCCCAGCGTGGTATCTCGAGTTCTCGCCGCCTGGTTAAACAAAGTAAACCCCGCAAACCTGAACCATCACCTCCAGTCACTTTGTGCGTCCCTGCAGCCTAAACCTTGTTCCATGGGGGGGGGGGGGGGGGGGGGGGGAGTGCACGAGACTACAACCAACTTCTCGGCACCACGATCAGCCTACGGTGTCCGTCAGCCCTCACTCCCGTGGCGTGACATGGACCCTGAGGATGTTTAACAACAATCAAAAAAGTTACGTGAGTGACGCACGGACCCCCCTCCCTCCTCCGTCCCTTAATGTTTAATTAGGAGGGGGGGGGCTCCTAAACAACCCCGCTCCAATCGTCGCGTGCTCCCCCTGCCAACGACCTGACCCCAACGGGAGAAGGATCACGGCACAAACACGGCAGAAGCAGCAGTAGCAGCAGCAGCGGCAGAAGCAGCAGTAGCAGCAGCAGCGGCAGCAGCAGCAGCGGCAGCAGCAGTAACGGCAGCAGCAGTAGCGGCAGCAGCAGCAGCAGCGCTCCGATTCCAAATGCGCGCCAGCCCCTGGCCTAGTGCTGCCTGCCAACAACAACAACAGCAACGAGGACGAGGACGGAGTGCCGTGTGGCCCTCTCGCGAGTGTGACCCGTGGCACGGGAGGAGGCGGGTGGTGGGCTGGGTGGGTGAGCGGATGGCACACATGGGCAGAGAGAGAGAGAGGGAGCGCTGCGAGGATTGAAAGTGCACCATCATCATCATCATCTTCAGCAGCAGCCGTGGTCAATCCACTGCTGCTTTTGAATGCCTTCATCTTCACCAAGCCACCGAGGCCTCTCACGATCCTGGGGATGTAGCGATACACCCAGCGGCTGCTGGCGATTTCATCATCGGCTCCATCTCCTACCGGTGGACGTGCTCTTAGAACGCGTTCCATTCCATTCCCTGGCTGCCACTCCATTCGTGAGTCTCGACCACCCGCCATCATCATCGTCATCGTCGTCTTCCCTTCTGGCCGTGACGCGTTCTGCCCTGGCCCACACGTGGCCCCCCTTAACGGTTATGGAAGAGCCCCCCATTAATCGGCGTGCGTTCTCCAAATCCGCACGTCTCCTCCCGCTGTCTCTCCGTGTCGTGGCTCTCTCTCTCTCCCTCTCACTTTATTTCACTCCTGCACTCCCCACGCTTCTCTGTACACTTTTCAACGTTTTGTTCCACGTGTTGTTGTTGGTGTCTTTTTCCCACTGTCAGTGTCAAAGCCGGGACAGTGGGGGGTGGTGAGGAACCCGGCCAATCGCGGCGCTGATAAAAAAAACACAAATCCTCGCTGCTAAAAATCAAATTACTCGTTTGAACGTTGCTACGTTGCGTTGGTATCGTCCTGATTCGGCCTGACCCTACTTCAATATAACCCCTAATCGCGAGCACATGCCCTCCGCGTTATATAATGATGGTGAAGAACGTGCAGCCTGCGCAATAAACGCGTAGCGGGCAGCGGCGATGGAATGCTGTGATCCGTGCCCGTGGCAGTCCGTGGCACGAACCTCAGCTGTGTGGTGAATTCCAAGAAAATAAAGAAAAATGTGACAGTCTTGCCCTGAAATCAGAAGCCAGTTAAATTCGGCCGCACAGCCGGTGGCTGGCTCTCTGAAACCCGCGGCCCCCCTTACCACTCAGGATATCAGAATATTTATTTTATACTGGAGGAATCCGATGAGCTATGAAGCTCTTTGATTCACAAATGTCCAGTAGGGGCACGGGATAAAAAAAAGTTACAACGACAAACAAAACAAAAACGCGATCGTGGGTAAAAAAAAAATCACCCAAACACATACAAACACAGACAAAGGCAAACACATACAAAGATCCCCCGTATAGCCTTAACAGACTGTAGGGGCAAGTGCTGTTAGCGAGCACCTATGAAGGCCGGAACGGTACACGACGAGGGGGTGGGTGGCCAGCACCACGCCCAACCGCCTTTGTCTCCCCAGTGGCGATGTTTACACACCACCCCAGGTACTAATTTCAGCCTGAGTCGACCTAGGGGAAGGCCCACGACCGGTTGAAATAATCGTCACTGGGTGTTGGCCGTGAGCGGGAATCGAACCCCGGGTCGCCAGGTTCATAGTGCAGCGCGCTAACCGCTGCACCACCGCTCCCCACCACAAACACACACAAACACACGCAAATACAACGCCACCATTCCCTATCATCCGACCAGGCCAGAGCCCACGGAGGTGTCAGCTTATCTTTCAGCAACGACCTGCCCACCACAAATGACAGCTCACCAAAGTGAGTGCCCCCCTCATTTGGGACGTTCGAATCAGCACAAATCGTTGCGATGCGCGAGAGAGAGAGAGGCCCCCCGTCTCGTCTCGCTCGAGGTCTCGTCGCAGCTGCGGCCTTAACAGGAGCTCGCTAACACGTCTTGCCCCAACAATATACGGGGGGAGGGGGGCGATCTTTGTCTGTGTGTGGGGGTGAGTCTCTGTTAGTCTCTCTGTGTGAGTGTGTGTGGGGGGTGGGTTGGGTGAGTGTATGCGGTATTTGTTACAAACGAGTTGTGTGTGGGATTGTGAGAGTGTTGTGAGTCTGCCTGTGTGAGTGATATTGGCTGACTGTACCCACTATTGGCAAGGCAGGGGACGCAGGTGGTGCATGCATCTCAGTCAGTCAACCCTTGGTTACCCGGCTCTGTTTCGTGACTTCCTGCCAGCAGCGAGCTTTGAACACTTAGAGGGATCTTCTCGGTTCTTTCGATAAAGTCACGTTGAAGGGAAATAATAAAATAATAAAAATAAAACATAATAAAATACAATTCTCACGACGTTTCGGCCACAACGCAAGCAGCCGTCCTCAGGTGAAGAACAGGTCTGTCGGAAAGACAGCGTCTGAATGATCCCCACCACGCTTGGCAGCGTATATTTAAGCTGGTTGGAGGGGGAAGAGCGCCTTGACAAAAAAATGTGCATATCAAGAGGAATTTAGCATATTTATGTTTGGCGATTGGTATTACCTTAGAGTCGCGGCATCTCTTCAGAAAGGTGAGAGACTCGATTAGCTGAGCTTTCTTATGCCTTAAAGTGACCTGAAGGGTACACCTAGCCTGTCACGGGAGCCGAGGTGACGTAACCACCACTTTGTGGCGTATGGAAGCTTTTGCATAGACCCTGACGCCTGTGCGCGTGTGGAGTTTGCATCTTCTCCCCGTGGTCCCGTGGATTTCTCTCCGGGTCCTCCATGGTTTTCCCTCCAGAAACGCGCGTTTCGAGAATTTGGCTGCTATAGATTTCCACGCGCGATAAGCCACCACGCCGAGCTCTCATTTGCGGTGACCAGGTCGCTTCCGAACAAAGAGCGACATGGCTCAGTGGACCTTACCTGGCAGAAAAAAAAATTATTTTTAGTCGAATAGTTATCGTAACAAGTGCTCGCTAACGGCACTGTGCCCCACAAGGCCACACTGGGCCATCTCTATCTCTGCGGTGTCGCTGTTCTACGGGACGGGGCCTTCCCCTAAGCGCCTCCTGCCGTCGTGCCTCGCCAGGTCTGCTGGAGATGAAGGCGGTGGCTCGCGGAGTGGTGGTCATCAGGGGGCTCAAGTCTCGCCGCTACCTCTGCATGGACCCGAAGGGCAGGCTCTACGGGCAGGTGAGCGCGCCGAGACTCGCAACCCACCACGGGCGAACTTATCGCAAAGGGTTGGCGGTTCGAAGCGGCGAGTGTCCGCCCCGACGAATCGAAATGATTCAGTGCCGCGGGTGTCAGCCGCGGAGACTCGGCGTGCGTCGCGTGAAACCCTCCATGTCGACCTTGGCAGGTGCCCTCGGCCCTGCACGCGCACAAACGCACGTAGAGACGAATCGACTCGCATAGAGACCCACACACAGCTACACAGAGACCCATAGACTTGCATAGAGACCCACACACAGCTACACAGAGACCCATAGACTTTCATAGAGACCCAACAGCCACCTACACAGAGACCCATAGACTTGCATAGAGACACACACACACACCTACACAGAGACCCATAGACTTTCATAGAGACCCACACACACCTACACAGAGACCCATAGACTTGCATAGAGACTCAACACACAGCTACACGGAGACCCATAGACTTGCATAGAGACCCACACACAGCTACACAGAGACCCATAGACTTGCATAGAGACTCACACACAGCTACATAGAGATTCATAGACTTGCATAGAGACCCACACACACAGCTACACAGAGACCCATAGACTTGCATAGAGACCCACACACACTTACACAGAGACCCATAGACTTGCATAGAGACCCAACACAGCTACATAGAGACCCATAGACTTGCATAAAGACCCAACACACAGCTACACAGAGACCCATAGACTTGCATAGAGACCACACACACAGCTACACAGAGACCCATAGACTTTCATAGAGACCCACACACACTTACACAGAGACCCATAGACTTGCATAGAGACCCACACACACAGCTACACAGAGACCCATAGACTTGCATAGAGACCCACACACACCTACACAGAGACCCCATAGACTTGCATAGAGACCCACATACCCCTACACAGAGACCCATAGACTTGCATAGAGACCCACACACCTACACAGAGACCCATAGACTTTCATAGAGACCCACACACACCTACACAGAGACCCATAGACTTGCATAGAGACCCACACACACAGCTACACAGAGACCCATAGACTTGCATAGAGACCCACACACACCTACACAGAGACCCATAGACTTGCATAGAGACCCACAAACCCCTACACAGAGACCCATAGACTTGCATAGAGACCCACACACCCCTACACAGAGACCCATAGACTTGCATAGAGACCCAACACACACCTACACAGAGACCTATAGACTCACATAGAGACCCAACACAGACCCATCGACTAGGGGACTTGCCGAGGAATCCCTCGATAATTGGGATTCGTGTGCGTGGTCCTTGGGTCGCCCAGCCGCACTCCGTCACTCGCGGGAGGCGAATGTGAAACACGCGGCGCTCCACGCCACGAGCCGCCCTCTCCCCCCCCCCCTTGCCAGCGATGACGACAGAGCTCTCGTTATGGAGCTTTCCACATGGGCGTCGATGTTTTTTTTTCTCAGAACGTGTCCCAATTCGAAATTCAAAAATATCGGCTACGATTTCTCACCCCCCCATCCCCCCAAAAGAAAAAAAATGAATAACGCGCCGACCAGGATTTCAATAATATATATACTTGTTTTTAAATTCGCGTTTCATTCTCGTATCCATTCCGTGGGATTAGGGTTAATTAGCCGCCCTGTGTCAAGGAGGGGGGGGGGTTTCATAATACCCGTGTCGGGAGACGCTCAGCCGACACCCCAAAAGCTGATAATTGTTTTTTTTATCCCTTTTATCTGGCAACAAAACTGACACCTTTTTTACGAGGAGTCATGTTAGCATAGACCACAATACCTGCAGTCATAATGCAAACAAAAAACACAACTTGATAATGTGTGCACTGTCCTTGAAGTTGATTGTTCCACACCCGAGACAGCTTTCCTTAGAGCCTAGTCTCACATGGTGTTGGACCAGATGACGCCAAAAGGACAGTGCATACATTATCAGAGTTATGTTTTTTTCGTTTGCATTATGACTGCAGGTATTGTGGTCTATGCAAACATGACTCCTTGCAAAAAAAAGGTGTCAGTTTTGTTGTCAAATAAAAGGGTAAAAAAAAACAATTATATTTTTTACTGGCAAATGAGGTTCCAATGGTGTAAACCCCAAATGCTCCCCGCACGAGAGGCTCGAATCCGCGCGTTTCAATCCCGCGCCGCCTCCGGCGATCATCACCAGATTCTCAAGTGCGGCGAGCTCACAGCCCCGGCCACCTTTGTTTCTCCCCCCCTCCCCCGCCAGGTGTCGTTCGACGAGGTGGACTGCACGTTCCGCGAGTCGCTGCTGCCTGACGGCTACAACCTGTACCGTGGCGGCACGCACCACGCCGTGGTGTCGCTCAGCGCGGCCGCTCCACGACACCACCACCACCAACAACAACAACATCAACAACAACATCGCCAGCAGCAGCAGCAGCCAAGCCAGGAGCTGCCGATGGATCCACAGCAGCAGCAGCAGCACGAGTGGCCACTCGCCCGAGGGCCACCGCCGCCGCCACCACCACCACCCCTGTCCCACTTTCTGCCCGTCGTGAACTCCGTGCCGCTCGAGGACTCCGAATCCGGAGTCCCGTGGATGGAGGAGCCCGGTGCCGGCAGTCGCTCGCCAGACGAGGTGGCGCCGATGACGAGGAAGGGGCACGAGGAGGAGGAGGATGAGGAGGGTCGCGAGGGCTACGTGGATCTGCTGGATCCCCTGGGCATTCTGTCGTCCCGCACGAGCCGGTGGTCGTGGTGGTGATTGCGCGCTGGTGCGGGGAGGAGGACGAGGGCTGCTGGTGAACCCGTGGCACCTGCTGGGTCTGACCCGTGACCTTCCCGCTGCCAGCGGGCGTTCGACACTGCACGTGGTCTCAACGTGCACGTGGCCTGGCACGAGAGCCGTGGTGACGTCCCCTGCCACTTAGTGGCGAATGGCGGTTGTTGTTGTTGGTGGTGGCCACGTAAAAAACTCTCGCTCGTGGAGGCCCATGAATGGAACTTTGTTCGGCGAAAACTCAGAGGCTGAGTTGGGGAGATCCGGTTGGAGTCTGAGTGGTGGAAATGGGTGTAACCACCTGCGCAGCAGCAGGCGATGGATCTCTGTGTGCGGGGGCACATTCGGACGACGTAGCCACTGGCAGGCGTCACCCTGACTGCCGCACGCGCGCGCGCGTCCGCGTTGCGAGTTCATGCGCGCGCGTGCGTGACCGAGGAGCGGTGGCGCAGCGGTTAGCGCGCCGTGCCGGTAGGGAGCGACTCACAGGTGGACAAAGGGGCGAGTGCCACCTGGTGGCTCCGCCGCCTTGCGCTCAGCCAGCCCGAGTTCGATTCGCGGTCACGGCCAACGCCGGTAAATGAAATATCTGAACCTGTTTCTGGGCCCTCTCCACCATCTCCCTCCGAACACCACCACCACCACTCGGCCTGAGTTGACTTTCACGCGTGCGGCGTGTGATGAACATCAGCACTGGGGGGTGGGGGGGGGGTGTGAGGGGAGGGCGAGTGGACAAAGAAGGTGGTTCGCTAAGCAGCGCTTGCCCTCGAGCAAGTCGGTGTTTGGGTCGGAGCGGTTGGCATCGCGAGGCAAACTCTCGCTGCCAGATGTCTCCTCCTCCTCCTCTTCATCCTCCTCCTCCTCCTCTTCATCCTCGTCCTCCCTGCTGCTGCCCAGCACACGGCTCAGCCGAGGAGGAGTTCCATCACCGGCCTGAGGGGCCTGGCGACCGGTGCCACTCTGATGGAGATGAGGCGCACAGAGCGAACCGAGCTGCACTTAATGCCACGAGCGAATAAATGAATTGTGTGTGTGTGCGTGTGTGTGCGTGTGTGTGCGCGTGTGCGCGCGTGTGCGTGTGTGTGTGCTGCTGAGACTGGAGCGTGCCACTAAGAGGTGGGGCCTTACCATCAGCCCGACCAAAACTAAGCACCTGCCTGGGTATTTTGTACCATCGGCAAACCTCCACCCCCACAACTCCCAATCGGTGATGGGGCAGTAGTGGAGAGAGTGGAGAGTTTCCCATACCTGGGCAGTGTGCTTATGACCTCAAGGTGCACATGGCCTGGCACAAGCGTCGTGGTGACGTCACCGCCACTTAGTGGCGAATGGCGGTTGTTGTTGTTGTGTGTATATAGCGATGGCAAGAAGCCAGTGGGGGTGAAGTATGGTCAGTCAACTGCCCGCCCCCCCCAACTCCCTCCCCCCATTAGCTGTGGGGAGGCCCTCATCCAGCAGTGGATTAACAAAAGGGTTGTAAATTATTCTTTTTACTGTTGTCGCTGTTTGTTGTTGTTGTTGATGTCAGTCAGCCACACACGTGGGCGCGCGTATCCCTGTGGGCTTGATCGAGAGGGTGTAACAGCAGGGGCGAGCTCTACGACTCCACGAGTTCGATCCCCGCTCACGGCCACCAACACCGCCAGCGACGATTGTCTGAACCGGGTCCCCTGGGCCTCTCCTAGCTCGACTCAGCCTTCAAATGAGTACCTGGTGCGGTGTGCGAGTATGGCAACCGCGGACGATCACCGCACCTCGTGCGCCCTTCCCGATGACGGCGCTTGGCCCCCAACATTCTGTTAGAATCTCGAGTTGAAGCTTTCGTGGGGGCTACACGGGGGTAGGGGAACCTTTTCGTCTGCCCAGGGACATTTGGATAATCTATAACATCATTCGCGGGCCGTACGAAATGATCAGCTTAAAAATGTAGCCCGTTGTTATATTTGGTCAAACATTTAATTAACTCGCTCCCTAATTCGATGGGCTGGAACCGCTTCTCTTTGGCGAGGCGTGTGATGTTAGCTGCTGGTGTTCATGATGTTGCTGCTGCTACTCGCAACTGCTTTTTCAGCTCCTAGATTTGTTGAATTTCGAGTCCCGCCTGCGGTTGCCTTGGCAGGGCCAAAGACCAAATGATTCCGAGGGTCTGATACGGCCCGCGGGCCGGACCGTTCCCCACCCGTGCCATAGAGGATCTGGCCCCCTTCTCCCCGACACGTGCTGCGTTGCCACAGAGAGCCGTGCCAAGTCTGCCAGGAATGTCATCTGGATCGTATAGATGATGAGTGATACGACAATTAGATTCACGGCGGATGATGTACTCGTGACAGAGTAGGACTGTGGAGTTGATGCTCATGGGTATTTCGTACGGTCAGCAAATGCAAAAATCGATGTGTGATTACATAATCGAGTAACGAGGAGCGGCCACGTGCACGCATGCGCCCACATGTCGCGAGACAGACACGATATTGTAGCCACATGTACACACGTACGGAGGTGCTTGAACACAACGCACAGACACGCAAACGCATTTTCATTTTACCATGTTGAAAGATAAATGCACGCCAAAGCATACATGGATACAAAGACAAAGCACACACACACTAACACACACACTAACACACACTAACACACACTAACACCCAGACTAACACACACACACTAACGTACACACACACTAACACACACACACACACACTAACACCCAGACTAACAGACACACACTAACGTACACACACACTAACACACACACACACACTAACACACACTAACACACACACTAACGCACACACACAGACTAACACCTCTGTCTGTGTAGATCGCCATGAACATTGGCCTCTGCTTCCACTTAACCAGTACTCATCAGCAACGCGCTTCCAAGTTTAACCGTAGCCGGCCGATGATTTGTAGTTGGGGTGACAGGCAGTAGTGGTGGGCAGCTTCAAGGCAAAGGAACGTGCTACACAGAGAGAGAGTGGTGTAGGTATATTTATTGTTAAATTATTTGCTTGATGTAACGTAACAGTTTTGTATCGCCCTCTGTATAACTTATTTTTCGCTATTTATATTTGACCGAGCACACGTAACGCTTGTTGCACGTCGCGTATCACGCACCGCGAACTTCTCCAAGACTTGTCGACGCAATTCGCCAACAACACTGTGGGCCCTTAAAAAAAAACAAAATAAAATAAACGTGGCGTTTCGGCGACGTTTCGGGTTATTGCCCTTGTTCAAAGTTGTATTTTTTATAAATAAAAATATATTGTTCAGTCGGTTCATTGGTGCTTTGTGCAACGCTGACGATGTCCGAAACATCTGCCGGGTCCGATTATGCTCTCTGCCCAAGGAGGCCGTCCATAAATGACGTCACAGACCTAGGGGGGGTCAGACATTTGTGACGATGTGTGACGAGGGGGGAGGGGGGTTGAGAAATGCGACGTCGCATCAAAATGCGCAACTTTAAATTTAATAAATATAGACAACACGTTCTACTTAATTAAATATACTTTTTAATTCATGTTTTCTCCTACAACATCAGAATGCAGCGCCACATTAAATACGCGTGACGTCATTTATGGACGGCCCCAAGGACCGCGAGATGTGAAAATTTTCGGTACAAATTTTGGGGCAGGGGTCACCCTCGTGGCGTCGGCGCTCCGCGTCTCCGTGCGCTCGTTCACACGAAGACAAAGACAAAGATCACCCGTATAGCATTAACAGACTGTTGGGGCAAGTGCTGTCAGCGAGTGCCTCTGAAGGCCAGAACGGCTCACGAGGGGGTGGGTGGCCAGCACCACGCCCGGCCGCCTTTGTCTCCCCAGTGGCGATGTTTGTACGCACCACACCAGGTATTAATTTGAGGCTGAGTCGACCTAGGGGAGGCCCAGGACCGGTTCATATAATCGTCACTGGGTGTTGGCCGTGAGTGGGAATTGAAACTCGCGTAGCGCAGCGCGCTAACCGCTACACTACCGCGTCCAAAGACAAGACAAGACAAAGATCCCCCGTGTAGCCTTATCAGACTGTAGGGGCAAGTGCTGTTAGCGAGCACCGGTAAAGGCCGGCACGGCACACGAGGGGGCGGGCGGCCAACACCACCACGTCCACACACACACAGACACACACAGACACATAGACACACACAGACACAGCAACAACGCTCGCTCGGCCGCCTTTGTCTTCCCAGCGCCGACATTCACACACTCACGCACCACAATGCCATTTAAGGCTGAGTCGACCCACGAGTAAGAGGCGCAGGCAAGGTGGCTAGCGACCACCACGCTCGACCGCCTTTGTCTCCCCCCGTAGAACTGACGTTCACACACACGTGCTAAATGCTTGGGGGGGGAGACACAGGGCAGGTTCAGATACCACTTGTCACCGATGTGACACACACACACACACGAGATTTAGCAGAGAACAGGTTTCAAAGGAAGAGGGTATTTAGTTAAATCTAAAATTGCCCTGTTTGTGCCATTGGCTATGGGCAGCCTAACCCCAACACGCCTGCCTCCACGCACTCACACAAGCCGCTGCAATTACTCCCCCCACCACCCACCACCACCCACCACCACCTTCAATTATCTTGCACCCCACCCAGGGACCTATTAGTGCTAATTAAAACCCAGAGTGCTGTTCACACGGGGATGAGAGGGGCGCGGGGTGGGAGAGGGAGGGGGTGGTGGGTGGTGGGGGGCTTAAGCCACAGAGGCAACTCTAATCCGAGCCTACGGGGACGAAGCGACAGGGACGATGAGAAGTCGTCTCGCGGGTCGCACGTCGGGGAGAGAAGCGACTCGGGCCGACGTTGCCTCGACAGCGAAGAGGAAAGCGAGGAACGCGCACGCACGTGCACGCACGCACTCACACGCATGCACACGCACGGCACGCACGCGCACGCACGCACGTGCACGCACGCACACGCATGCACACGCGCACGCACGCGCACACGCGCACGCACGCACGCGCGCGCACTTGAAGGTCGATGGCCCTGTGTCGTGTGGCCAAAGTAGAGGTCGCAAACGGGTTTTGATTCCTTACCCGTACCCGGCCGCACCCGTTCCCGTACCCGTACCCTACCCGAAATGAGTGACAAACGGTTACTCACCAGTGACTCACGGCCTACCCGTACCCGTACCCGGCCGCACCAGGGTCGCAAACGGCTACCCGTACCCGGCCGGGTAGGGTACGGGTATCGGGTACCTGATTGTGACCTCTGGGATGAAGCCATGTTGCAGGCGCGGGTGGGTTGATTCTAGGAACTTGAATTGTGAGAAGAGACAAGACGTTGGGAAATGAGTGACAAACGGTGACTCACTATCTTCTTGGTTCTTTCTCTCACCAGTGACTCACGGCTACCCGTATCCGTACCCGGCCGGGTACGGGTAGCCGGGTATCGGGTAGGGTACGGGTATCGGGTACCCGGTTGCGACCTCTGGGCCAAAGGCGAGCGGGCGGGCGGGCTGGAGGGCAGCACGCTCAAAACGTCGCTTGCGGAGGAGGCGCGGTTCGAATCCCGGGCGGGCGGCCCTGGTTAACGCCGTGGTGTGTATTTCGGCGAGCACGAGGCTCGCAGGCGACGTGAACAATCAAGCGGCGATTCGAAATGTTCGACGAAGAGCGGGGCTCATTGGGTGCCGGCATAAAAAGAAAAAAAAAATGTCACTGAATCGGTGAATAGGTAGCAAGAGTCGCCCCCTGCTGGGAAACATTTGCAGGACCCTCTTAGAAGAGTCTCGGGGGGGCAGGGGGGGAGTGAGCGAGTGGCTGGAGTGAATCGATGAAGTTCACGGGAACGCAGTAAACCCAGAGCCGGATTATCCTCGGAGCAAAAGTAGCTGCACGTGTAGTAGTAGTAGCTACTACACGTGGAGTAGCTACTACTACTACACGTGTAGTAGCAGTAGCTACTGCACGTGTAGTAGTAGTAGCTACTACACGTGTAGTAGTAGTAGCTACTGCTACACATTCTTCACCTAAGGACGGCTGCTTGCGTTGTGGCCGAAACGTCGTGAGAATTATTTTATCATGTTTTATTTTTATTATTTTATTATTTCCCTTCTACGTGACTTTACCGAAAGAACCAAGAAGATGATTGTAAGTTGTCTTCTTCTTGCACGCGTTTGTCCCACCCACGTGTAGCTCCCGCCGTGCACATGTTCTCTCGATGTCTCTCTGCGCCGATCTACTTCAACACATTTTCATTTCTGAGTTGATGTTCAACTAGCCGTACTCCACTTGGATCCACCACGCCCGGCCGCCTTTGTCTCCCCAGCGGCGATGTTCACACACCACAGCAGTTACTCGTTTGACGCTGAGTCGACCTAGGGGAGGCCCAGGACCGGTTAAAATAATCGTCACCGGTGTCGGCCGTGAGCGGGAATCGAACTCGGGTCGCCGGGTTCGTAGCGCGGCGCGCTTCCACATGCACGGGTCACGTGACAGATGTGACGTCACAGCTCACTTGCCGTGCAACAAAATCTATGTATTATTGAGCTCCCCCCCCCCCCCCCCCAAAATAAAAAAAAGTGTATTTTTATAATTTTTGCATGTTGTACAGTCTGGAAAGTACCCACATGGCAACTTTCAAGTGTGTTGCATGTCGGGAAGTACGCTAAACATTTTGAACAGACACACATGTAGTACAGAGTTAGATTGATGGCCTTAATCTAAGTTGTGGTTGTTGTTGTTTGACTTGCATCCCACTGGGATTTTTGCACAGTGTAGGTGTACGGTGCTTTTTCTGCAATATTTTGCTGTCTTTTCTTGGATTTTCTCTTTGCACTTAGTCACATAGTCACTTTAAGATGTTTTCTTGTTCATGTTTTTGTTTTCTGTTTGTTGCGGTTGCACCCGATTCAAGAGCCGAATGGCTCACAGGGCTGTACCTAATCAATGAACTTGAAACTTGAACATAATCACAACTTTGCCTTTTAAATATAGAGAGAGTAGATTACAACACGCGACCTCTTGAGGTCAGAGAACGACTCGGAGGCGCGAGGAGGAACCTGGCGGGTTTAGGCCGCCAGGAGGCACAACCGACACGGCCTTCACCGCTCACCAGTTGCAGCAAGAGCTGTCGGGAGCAGCAGACAACGTGGCCTTCCGCATCCTCGCGGATGAAACTGTGGGAGCACGTCCCAGCGAAATCAGTCGCCGCTCTCTGCCTGCTCCGTGACGACGCTTCTCAGCGACGGAGCGGAGATTTCTCAGCGGCGGAGCGGAGATTTCTCAGCGGCGGAGAGGAGATTTCTCAACGACGGAGCGGAGATTTCTCAACGACGGAGCGGAGATTTCTCAGCGGCGGAGCGGAGATTTCTCAGCGGCGGAGCGAAGATTTCTCAGCGGCGGAGAGGAGATTTCTCAACGGCGGAGCGGAGATTTCTCAGCGGCGGAGAGGAGATTTCTCAACGACGGAGCGGAGATTTCTCAGCGGCGGAGCGAAGATTTCTCAGCGGCGGAAAGGAGATTTCTCAACGGCGGAGCGGAGATTTCTCAGCGGCGGAGAGGAGATTTCTCAACGACGGAGCGGAGATTTCTCAGCGGCGGAGCGAAGATTTCTCAGCGGCGGAGAGGAGATTTCTCAACGGCGGAGCGGAGATTTCTCAGCGGCGGAGAGGAGATTTCTCAACGACGGAGTGGAGATTTCTCAGCGGCGGAGCGAAGATTTCTCAGCGGCGGAGCGGAGATTTCTCAACGGCGGAGCGGAGATTTCTCAGCAGCGGAGAGGAGATTTCTCAACGACGGAGCGGAGATTTCTCAGCGGCGGAGAGGAGATTTCTCAACGACGGAGCGGAGATTTCTCAACGGCGGAGCAGAGATTTCTCAGCGACGGAGCGGAGATTTCTCAGTGGCGGAGCGGAGATTTCTCAGTGGCGGAGCGGAGATTTCTCAGCGACGGAGCGGAGATTTCTCAGCGACGGAGCGGAGATTTCTCTGCGACGGAGCGGAGATTTCTCATGGACGGAGCGGAGATATCTCAACGACGGAGCGGAGATTTCTCAGCGGCGGAGCGGCGGAGCGGAGATTTCTCAGCGACAGAGCGGAGATTTCTCAGCGGCGGAGCGGAGATTTCTCAACGGCGGAGCGGAGATTTCTCAGCGGCGGAGCGAAGATTTCTCAGCGGCGGAGCGGAGATTTCTCAACGACGGAGCGGAGATTTCTCAGCGGCGGAGCGGAGATTTCTCAGCGGCGGAGCGGAGATTTCTCAGCGGCGGAGCGGAGATTTCTCAACGGCGGAGCGGAGATTTCTCAGCGGCGGAGCGGAGATTTCTCAGCGGCGGAGCGGAGATTTCTCAGCGGCGGAGCGGAGATTTCTCAACGGCGGAGCGGAGATTTCTCAGCGGCGGAGCGAAGATTTCTCAGCGGCGGAGAGGAGATTTCTCAACGACGGAGCGGAGATTTCTCAGCGGCGGAGCGGAGATTTCTCAGCGACGGAGCGGAGATTTCTCAGCGGCGGAGCGGAGATTTCTCAGCGACGGAGCGGAGATTTCTCAGCGACGGAGCGGAGATTTCTCAGCGACGGAGCGGAGATTTCTCAACGACGGAGCGGAGATTTCTCAGCGACGGAGCGGAGATTTCTCAGCGGCGGAGCGGAGATTTCTCAGCAGCAGAGAGGAGCTTTCTCAGCGACGGAGCGGAGATTTCTCAGCGGCGGAGCCATCGTCAGGGCCCCCTGTGAGGTTCAGAGGGGAGTCGAGCAAGCTGGCGTCGCTGGCCCAACGCTCTTCTCGATAATCGTCGCCGCGATGACCACCGTCGTGCACTTCCGCGACATCGAAGTGAACCGGCAACACGGCGTGCCAAGCGTTACACCGCGGCTATGATCACAGCACGTGTTTACTCATCATCATTTACATCGGACAGAAACGTTCAATGGACTATCGCCTCCTTCCTGCCGACCGAGCGTCGCAAAGCAAAAGCGATGGGAGAAAGGTGAAGAGAGAGTGGGGATTGCAGCCCATTCGCCATTCATCATTCATCCATCCATCGGTCAAACGAATCAAAACTGCAGACATGGTAACTGTGGTGAAACGATGCCAGAGGCGATATCGAAGCTCATTTGTAAATATCGTAACTGTAAACCAAATGCACATGAGCGGTGCTGAGGTTTCATGACAACAGCAGCATGTGTGGAGGCCGGGTGGGTGGGTGGCTCAGAGGTCAGGGACGCTGAACCAGCAAGATACTCGGTTAGAATCTATCTGGGTTCGAGCTGCTAACCATGGCCACACATTCGACACCCATTACCCTCCCTCCCCCTCCCTACCAAAATCAAAATAACTTATCACTTAAATTTCGATTTAAAGCTTTCGTGACTGCAGGGATTCATCTTCTTGGTTCTTTCGGTAAAGTCACGTAGAAGGGAAGTAATAAAATAATAAAAATAAAACATAATAAAATAATTCTCACGACGTTTCGGCCACAACGCAAGCAGCCGTCCTCAGGTGAATACCCGACAGACCTGGTCTTCCCCTGAGGACGGCTGCTTGCGTTGTTAATTATGTTTCATTATTTTTATTATTTTATTACTTCCCTTCTACGTGACTTTACCGAAAGAACCAAGAAGAACTTATCACTTGCGCGCGTGGCCACACTACAATGCCTTACCACGTAAGACATCTCTACTAGGAGACCAGCACTTTTTAGTCCGTATGCTTTATTTTTATTTTCGTGGTTCTTTCGGTAAAGTCACGTAGAAAGGCAATAATAAAGTAACACTAATAAAACAATTATTATTTCCCTTCTACGTGACTTTACCGAAAGAAACAGGAATATGGATCCCTGCAGTCACGAAAGCTTTAAATCGAAATTTATTTTAATTGTTATTAATCTCGATTACTTGATTGATGTTTGCATTTTATTGTATAGAGGAGCACTATCTGACCCCCCCCCCCCACCGACCTTTAACCTTTCCCGCTCTTTGGCAACGAGTTGTAGCCCTTACCACCATTCCCTTCGAAATATTTTTTGTAATGTATTTCTGAAACGAAACACGCAGCCCGTGGCGTGTCGGCTGCTCCGACTGGCCGGAGTGCGAGCGTGTGAATAAACGATTTCTATTTGTAATAAAGCTCGTTGAGGCGACTTCTGGAATCCGTCTTTTATTCAACTTATATTACAGTTTCCTTCACACTGCTGATAGGCAGCGTGAGAGGGACAGATAGAGAGAGAGACGCACTGCCACGTGGCAACTCGGAGCCCCGCTCCCACGTGGCCTCCCCCCTCTGTTCGTTCCCGTTCTGACCACCTGTCGTTCGTCTCCACCTCTATTTAATACCCGGGTCACGTGGTACGTTTCCGCCAATCCTCGTTAGCCTGCATGGAATCTTCCAGGCTCCCTCGTCAGCTCCCGGGACCACGCCCCTGACTCATCTCCCCATTGGCTGTGGCCAAAGCCAGCAGAACCAATCCTTATAGCTGTCACCTTTCCATTACGTCAGGGCCACGCCCCCAGGCTTCCCCCCATTGGCTGTAAACCAGGACCGGCAGATCCAATCACCATGACGAGTTGTGATACGTCAGTGAGCCGGATATATCCTCATATTACATATTAAACTGGGTTCTCAAGGGGAGCGAGGCGATGACGGTCTCAGTACGGTCACCGGTGACTCGCATAGAGACCCATAGGATCACACAGAGAGGCCGATAGCCTCACAAAGACCTACACATTCACATAAAGACGCATGCACACGCATCGACAGAGCTGCAAATAAATTCGGTCCTCAAGTCAATCGAGTTGGCGGTCTCAGACCAGTCACAAATGATTGCACACACGCACACACACACACACACAAAAAATGCACAATGTTAAATTAACGTTTGCAATAAAATTGCCTAAATCGTAGCTCTGAGAATTAAAGATATCAGTTTGACCGCGATGCGATGGGCGTTACCCTCTGCAGCGCGGCAGGTGGGCGAGTGCTTCTCCTCGCTGTGCGGATAAGAGGTCACTTGAAGGGGAACTCAGAAGCAGGTCTGTGATATGAGCTCATGCGGACGGTTGTTTAACAACACGAGGTGACGAACTGCTCTGTAAGTTCCTAGTGGACGAGCAACTCTTGCAATTTGGGATAATATTGCGGGCAAAAAATATTTTTTTCATTGAGTAAACATAAAAATCTCCGTATGCGTGTGTGTGTGTGCCAATGACCGGTACGAGCGGTGTCAAGATTGGCCTCTGTGCAGGAGGCTTGTGAAGGAGGTTACTAGGGCAGTTGGAGGCAGTCGCCCTCCAGCAACGAGCGGAGCGCCGGGCAGCTAAAACGCAGTGAGTTTACACAGCTGGGGGCACAGGTGGTGCATCTGCCAGACATCCCAATCAACTTGTGACAGCCGAGTCTGTCCAGTGGACCTACTGCCAGCCTTCCACACTGCACGAGACGGCCTCAAAGTGCACCTAGCCAGGCACGAGCGCTGCAGTGACATTACCCCCCCCCCCCCCCCCACACACACACACACCCTCACACTCGGTGTTGTTGCGAGCGAAACGCGTTTCGCAAAACTGTACGACCGTGAATCTTCAAATATTCACAAAAACAGCTCCTCTTATAGCAGTACAGCAAGCGGATCGATTTCTGTTTCCATCCGCGAGGGATTGAGCGTTACACCGCCCCCACCCCCTCGTCTGCGCGGGGTTTCTCCGGTTTCCCTCCCACGTGCAGAATAAACGCTCATTGATGGAGTTGGCCCCATGACTCCATTGGGAAACACGGCGAAATCGTCAAGCTCCCTGCTGCGAACACTTAGCAGGACCCTCCTGGAAAAGTGAGTGGACTCCGCGAGACTTTCCCGCGTAAACAAGGCCAAAGCGGTCGCTGGAGGCACGACCTGGTAAAACTCGATCGACCACGCGCACGTGTGCCACGGCAGGGAGGCACAGGTGATGCATCGGCCAGTCATCTCGGTCGACCCATGGGCGCGTGGGTCTGCCCCGTGACCTCCTGCCAGCGGGCGTTCGACACTTCACGCGGCCTTGACGTGCACATAGCCTGGTGACGTCTCCACCACTTAGTGGCGAATGGCGGTTGTTGTTGTTGTTGTTATGGATGGCCTTTGGATTCAGATTTTAGAAGAAATTTTTTTTTTAAGAATTTCAGATGTTTTAGATTTTCGTGTCGCTGACATTATGTAGAACCCTATGCCCCGGCAGCATCCTTAAGATCTGATGGTGCCCTTTAATCCCAACCTCAAGTAGGGTTTCGATTTGGGGGGTGATCGAGCGGTTACAGTGGTGCCCCCCGCCCCCCCTCCCCAACTGTGGAACTCCCTACTGGTGCCCCTTGTAGTGAAAAGTGCCTTGCGAATGTGCCTTGTCTCCTCCACGCTAACAAACGAAATGTCAACCGATGCCACCTAACACCGCGGCACAAGTGGCGTTGTAAACAAATGTCACACACAGTGATAAGTGACGTCACTTCCGTTGATGATGTCATTACTCCTAAAACATTCCAGATTTAGATTTTATCTTCCCAAGTGTCATTTCTGGGCCCGATTTTTTTCTTTTTTTTTTATAAAATCTGAAAATAATTAATCGTCAGATTTTCACTGCCAAACCTTACGGTGTTAATTTATCGTAGAATTTTCCCACGCAATGTTGTAAAATTTACTAATTAATTTTTTTATCCATCTCCTCTCAAGAAAAGCCTACTAGTACTCCATAGACAATGAGGTTTTGTCAGTTGTCAACCTTTTCCCACGACAAGCGCATCGTTCTTCTCTCCGTGCGCACGGTGAGATTCACCTTCCAAGGTTACTCACGCGACGAGCGACACTGGTGGACGTTTACGAGCGGTAGGGCGCATCGTTTACAAAAAAACAGGAGCACGGGGCGTTTGACAAGCGCCACCCCTGCCGTCCCGTCTCGGTTGAATCGAACCTTTGCACACGAAATGTTCCGTCTCAAGCAATATTCCTGGCGAAATATTTTAGTTTTTAAATTTAAGAAGTAGAAAAAACACGTCACAGTTTCTTTCTGGCAATTCAGCATCCAGTCCAGCATGGATTCGCCCGCAGTGGCCGTCGCACGCAGTGACAGCTTGCCGCTCGCCATGGCAACGTGGAATTTCCGCCACCAACAACGCTCAAGCAGGATTTCCGCCCTCAACGCGAGCTTGTTTCTTGAACGAGAGCTTGTTTTTCGAGCGGGAACTTGTTTTTTGAACGAGAAGAGTCCCTGCGGAGTGAGTGTTGACACTCTGGGGCCATCCGCTTGGTAGCGGTGGTGGCGGCGGTGGCGGTGGTGGCGGTGGTGGCGGCGGTGGCGGTGGTGGTGGCGGTGGTGGCGGCGGTGGCGGCACCTCTAGGCTTTCCTAAGCTGTCGGTACACGAGGAAGGCGCTCATGAGCAGGCTGGCCACCTTGACGACCCGGGACTGGCACGCGGCCCATCGCACGTACACGATCACCGCCTCCTGCGAAACAAGCGCACGCCAAATCACGCGGGGTCACAGTGTTGCCGCAACCGACGCGTTGCCGAATGAATCTGGGAAACCGTGTGTCCTGAAGCACCCCTCCCGTCGCCTGACAAAGCCAAACAAATTCACATTCTTGGTTCTTTCGGTAAAGTGACTTTACCGAAAGAACCAAGAAGATGAATCCCTGCGGTCACGAAAGCTTTAAATCGAAACTTAACACATGTTTAGTTTTGATTTAAAGCTTTCGTGACTGCAGGGATTCATCTTCTTGGTTCTTTCGGTAAAGTCACGTAGAAGGGAAAAAATAAAGTAATAAAAATAAAACATAAAATAGTGAGAATTATTTTATTATGTTTTATTTTTGTTATTTTATTATTTCCCTTCTACGTGACTTTACCAAAAGAACCAAAAATATGAATCCCTGCAGTCACGAAAGCTTTAAATCGAAATCAAACAAATGCAGTTATCGTGTGGTACACAAACAAGGATTCACAAACAAGCGCCAATTATGATCCTTTGAGTTCACTCACTGCTGAGGCTTTCCTGGGTAGAGAAGCGTCAATAATAGTCACGGCAGCCCTTTTTGCCCACTTCAGCAATCGTTTCTTGCTGTGGTTGTCCCACATGATGACGGACGCTTGTTTTGCGCCCGAAACGTCGTGATTTAATTCATTTCATTTTTCTACCTACGTGACGTTAACCGAAAGAACCAAAAAGTATGGATCCCTGCGAGTCACGAAAACTTCAAATCTGGATTGCGATCCAGTTGCATTTACCGACAGCGGAAAGGCAACTTACCCATCCCCCCTGCTGTTTAATCCAGGGAACAATGTACAGCTTGATCAGCTCAAGCATCCATCCCAGTAGAGTCTTCACGTGATCGGGCACACAGCTCGCGTAAGCCTGGGGGCACGACACACGCAAGGAATGATTAGGAAATTGATTTGGCGTCACACCGCGCGTGTAAAATGCGTGTTGCATTGCATTAGGTTTACACATTTTGCTCAGTTTGTTTGACTTGGTGTGTGTTTTCTCTCTCTCTCTCTGTCTCCCCTCGTTTCGTTGCTCTTGTATCCTGCAGTTACGCCAAGTCTCTCATTGACATGCCGATTTCTCTACCCCCCCTCTCTCTCTCTCTCTGCCCCCCTCTCTCTCTATTTAAGGCCTCGACACAGAGGCGTTGGGTCTCTGTGTGTCTATGTTGTGTGTCTCTCTCTGTGTGTCTCTGTGTTGTCTCTCTCTGCTTGTGTGTCTGTCTGTGTGCCAATGCTGTGTGTCTCTCTCTGTGTGTCTCTGTATTGTCTCTGTGTTGTCTCTGTGTGTCCATGTTGTGTGTTTCTCTCTCTCTGTGTCTCTGTGTGTCTCTCTCTGTGTGTCTCTGTGTTGTCTCTGTGTTGTCTCTGTGTGTCCATGTTGTGTGTCTCTCTCTCTGTGTCTCTGTGTCTCTCTCTGTGTGTCTCTGTGTTGTCTCTCTCTGCTTGTGTGTCTGTCTGTGTGTCTGTGTTGTGTGTGTCTCTGTGTGTCTCTGTGTTATCTCTCTCTGCTTATGTGTCTGTCTGTGTGTCTCCGGTTCTGTGTTTTATCTCACTCTTAAATTTAGCAATCTTTGGAAGAACGTTAATCAACCAGGTAGGGTGTTGATTGTTATGTTAGCCGACTCTCTGTGTTGTCTTGCATTATATTTCTAAGTTTACTAGGTTGTGTTTTCTCTTTCATTTGTACCTGATGATGATTGCTTGTGTTGCAATCGAAACGTCATTCGCTATTATTTAATTGCTTATTTTCTCTTTCTACGTGACTTTGTGTGTTGTACATCCTCCTCCACCCGACACAGCCATTTAATAACGTTTTCTCGTGAACAAACATGGCCCATTTATTACTGCTTCAGCAGCACCACCGATGACGATGATGATGTTGTTGACGGAAAGCGATCTACATTTAACCATTCGTGCAAGAGAGATTAACGGGAACAACACTTGATTCCCAATGTTTTTTTTTTGGTTACGCCACTACGTAAGCATCTGACCAAATGTGTGTCGTCAAGACCCTCAACCACCCGAAGCAGCCAGATGAGTTAAGTCTGTCATGTGTACGAGCATTAATGAGCCCATTATTATTGTTTTGGGCTCGCTCACTGCTAAGAAGGTAAATAACAAGTCTCGCAAAACCAAATTTAATCAACACACGTGACATTTTGCTCGAATCTGCACCAAGCATTTTCAGGTAAAGCCACGATACAAACTCGATTTGCCAGGTTTGTAGCGCAATGCACGCGCCAACCATTGCACCACCGCTCCCCACACACATACAAAGACAAGGGATCCCCCCCCAGTGTAGCCTACACAGGCAGTTGGGGCAAGTGCTGTTAGCGTGCACCTAAGAAAGCCGGCACGGTGCGCGAGAGAACGGGGAGGCCAGCCACCAAGCCGTTGTCTCCCCAGCGCTGATGTTTACACCCTGCACCAGGCTCATTTAAGGCCGAGTTGATCTAAGGGAAGCCAAGGACCGACTCACTGTTGGCTGTGAGCGGGACTCAAAACAGTGCGCTGACTGCTGCATCATCACCGCTCGCCACTGACGCACACACACACAGCGCAAAGACACGGACGGTATTGCCTGCTACAGCCAGGCCACGTGGCAAACGAGTGAGTAGGCCAGGCTTGACTTAGTTCCTCAATATAGACTGTGATCTCATCCGTTCCCGAATGGGCCATGACATCAGATACAAATGACACGCTCGTGTCTCCAAAGGGCTCACCATGAAATTCCTCCTAGTTAATCATCTCAATGAGGATGCTTGGTGGTTCGTAAAAAAAAGTGCAAGGGCTATCCCTGTGTAATTACTCGTCCTCGTCATGAGAATGTGGAATGTGCAACTCTGGCTAAAGCGTGGCAGAGATGAGCATTGCCCCCCCATGACCTTGTGTGTGTGTGTGTGTGTACACGTGACACAGAAAACAGAATGTAAATAAGTGCGGAGAGATGCACGCTTAGAAACACGCTCTGAGACGGAAGGAGGAACACGGGAGGACGCACGAAGCTCATAAGGGACATCTCACGCTGACTGATCAGAAAATTGAAGTGGGCTTTGGGCAGGTGGCCCGGTGGTCATGACTTAACGACGGGACTGGCACGCAGAGGAGGGAACTCGCCCAAGAAGGACGATGATGTCATTACTTCTAAACCATTCCAGATTTTATCTTCCCAAATGTCGTTTTTGGGCCCGATTTTTTTCATTTTTTTTAATAAAATCTGAAAATAATGAATCCATAATCAACGTTTTTGGGTTTAGATCGCGTTATTTATAAATGTGTCGTAACCCTCCACCACCCGACACGGCCAATTAGTAAAAATGTGTCACGTTGACAAAGACAAATAATTCACTGCTTTAGCCCACCGGTGTGTTGAAGCCACAACATTTACAATTTGAGTACGACGTTTCGCTGGTAATTGCAACCAGCATCATCGGGCAATTCGCCAGAGGGTTACGACACATTTATAAATAAACGCGATCTAAACCCAAAAACGTTGATTATGAATAACATTGGTCGCGAAAGCCTACGTGTTAAACAAATAATGAATCGTCAGATTTTCACTGCCAAACCTTACGGTGTTAATTTATCGTAGAATTTTCCCACACAATGTTGTAAAATTAACTAATTAACTTTTTTAATCCATCTCTCAAGAAAAGCCTACTACTACTCTCTAGACTCTGTCTCCTCGACAGACCTGTTCTCCACCTGAGGACAGCTGCTTGCGTTGTGGCCGAAACGTCGTGAGAATTATTTTATTATGTTTTATTTTTATTATTTATTATTTCCATTCTACGTGACTTTACCGAAAGAACCAAGAAGATGAATCCCTGCAGTCACGAAAGCTTTAAATCGAAATACTACTCTCTAGTCCTCCGTGGAGACGCACCGATGAAATTCGCTCGCGCGCAGGAAGCGGGACGGATTGTGGCCTTGGCTGACCATGAACTTCATCCAGCGGTGAACAGACGATGGCCGATGACGATGACGACGACGATGATGAGGATCATCGCAATGAGGAGTGAAAACTGTGCGCTTTACCAACACGCTCTTCCGGCATCGGCGCATCCACACAACATCATGGATGCATGTCGGGTCCAAGCAAGAACATCTGCCGGACTACATAGTGACGGACCAGCGGATGCCAGCCCATATCCTTGACACCAGGACCTACCGTGGAGCTGATCTGCCCTCTGACCATCGACTAGTCATCTGTGAAATGCGCCTGCCATTCTTCCACTCCGGTGGCGGGTGTACATTGACAAAAAACAAAACGTGATCGCGACGCGTGAATGTTGCCGCGGCGCTCACCCGGATCACCAGCTTGTACGCAAAGTAGAAGAGCGTGGCCACGCGGCCCCAGTTGAAAATCCCGTCATCGAACAGCCTGCACGCGACGCTGAACAGGTAGTCCTTGGGGGAATTGACGGGGATGTTCTGTAGGAGTCTGTAAAAACATCCGCACGCACCATTCCATCGCGCCGTGCACTCAATAACCGCCCTACGCACGATCACCGTCGTCATCGTCGTCGTCAGCGGCCACGGTCAATCCACCGCTGGGTGAAGGACTCCCCAGGCCTCCGCCGCCAACGCTCAATGAGATGCAACAATCCCACCGCCCCCCCCCCCCGGCGCTCGATCGCTCCTCTTCCCACCCCGCCCCCCCCTCCCTCCCGTGGTGGGCGACGCTCACCGCTGCAGCTGAACGTTGTTCTCGAGGTCGTCGGCGATCTTCTTGAGGCAGTCGGCCACCTCGACGACGCGCCGGTCCTCCAGCGGCTCGGCGCCCACGTCCAGACACTCGGCGGACAGCGCCGCCGCCGCCTCCGCCCCCTTCTCCGCCAGCGCCCGGTCGACGATGAACCTAGGCGACGATCAAGAGCGCCGCATCGTGCCCACGCTCGTTCACCAGGGGAGGGAAATCGCGTCTCGCATGGCAGTCGATTACGGGGGCGGCGGCGGTGACGACGTGCGTTTTGCCTGGCGCCGTGGTCGAAGGGCAGGCCAGCCCTGGTTAATACCGCGGTGCCGTATTAATACCGCGGTGTGGTATTCACCGTCAAATACACCGTGCCGATCGCTTCATTCGACGCCATTCGAAGCAGAGGAGGTCACCGTGTGGCAGGCGTCACGGCCCGAATTTGAAAAGTTACACCGCAAACGACTTTTTACACGTTTTTATTTAACTTACTGTATGTGTTGTCGTATCCAAAAATCTTGTAACTCATTTTCAACCGCATTCCCAATGTCGTATCGACTGCAAACTTGGTATAGCTATGTCATACTGATGACAATACTATATTCTATCATTGAAAATTAAAAAAAATTAAACAATCTTTTTTACGGCTCTAATTGTCGATGCTCAACTGACGTTGCCTGTAAATCACCACGGTCCAAATTTCGATTTAAAGCTGTCGTGACTGCAGGGATTCATCTTCTTGGTTCTTTCGGTAAAGTCACGTAGAAGGGAAGTAATAAAAAATTAAAAATAAAAGATAATAAATAATTCTCACGACGTTTCGGCCACAACGCAAGCAGCCGTCCTCAGGTGAAGAATGATTCATTCTTCACATTTCATTCTCATTCTTCACCTGAGGACGGCTGCTTGCATTGTGGCCGAAACGTCGTGAGAATTATTTTATGTTTTATTTGTATTATTTTATTATTTCCCTTCTACGTGACTTTACCGAAAGAACCAAGAAGATCACCACGTGGTCCCTTACGTCACGGCAAGCTTCGGGGAGCCACGCCCAGGGGCGGGGGATGTGGAAGGAGGGGAGGGGCAATGGGGGAAGGGAGCAGGGGGAGGGGCAGCTCGGACAGTACATTTCATTAAAACGTGTTTTTTTATTTTAATTTTATCATCCTGTTTGTAACTAGCGCTGCTATGCTTACGTATGATTGAGTTCACGTACGACCGAGTTTACGCGTAATCATTTAATTTGCCTACCGCCACTGCTGACCCCAGTTTTTGGGGCTGGACTCCAGGAGTAAGTTACTGTGGAGCTCATTGGCCTCTTCCAGCGTCAATGCTGCGCCTCTGTCTGAAATGTGAGAGCACACGCCGGACACGTGCCTCCATTGGTACGCGAGAACTCTGCGCAAGTCCGCTCGGCTCCACGGACGCTTATGGGTCACGCAAGGAAATACATTTAGACGTCGATGTATGTTTATGGGTCTGAGAGCAAGTTTTACATCGAGACCTATGTTCACAATGAGGGGTTGGTGGTTTTTGAGAAAACGCGAAATGTGTCTTATATACGAATGGACGGGCACACGTACGAACATGATACTCCCAGAACATAGCAATAATTTGTCATTCGGCTCCATTACATTTATCTCAGAATGCCAGTATTTCTTACTTGATTAAAAGGTCCCGAGCTTGTCGTATGATCGGGTCTCTGCTGCTGTCGGCTGTTGGAACAATAAAGTGTTGAAGAGGCAGATGTCAGCGCGGAATGTTGTGTGTAACAGGGTGCCCTCCTGCTCATCTGCGGCCTCTACACGCGAGAATCGTGGTTTAATCACAACCCGCGAGTTAAATAATCTCCATATATATAAAAGGCAAAGCTGTGATTATGTGTCTGTTCAAAATGTTTAGCGTACTTCCCGACATGCAACAAACTGGAAATTTGCCATGTGGGTACTTTCCCGACTGTACACCATGCAAAAATTCTAAAAATACTGTTTTAGTTTTTTATTGGGGAGGGGAGCTCAATAATGCATATATTTTTTGCACGGCAAGTGAGCTGTGACGTCAAATCTGTCATGTGACCCGCGCATGTGGAAGCGTAACGCATTGTAGTGTAGCTACGAACCCGGCGACTGGAGTTCGATTCCCGCTCACGGCCACCACCGGTGACGATTATTTTAACCGGTCCTGGGCCTCCCCTAGGTCGACTCGGCCTCAAACGAGTAACTGCTGTGGTGTGTGAACATCGCCACTAGGAAGACAAAGGCGGCCGGGCGTGGTGAATCCAAGTCCCAGGTGAAGCCGGGGTAGTACAGCTAGTCTTCATAAATCTCTCGGTCTCTTTGTAAGTCTATGGGTCTGTAAGTAATTCTATGGCTCTCCATGTAAGTGTATGGTGACCACGCTAAGACCATAACCTCACCGCACAACATTTACAATGTTTTATTTACTCAAAAATTGTAAATGTTGTGGATTCACTTTTCAACACGCCGGTGGGCTGAAGAAGTGAACTATTTTGTCTTTTGTCAACGTGACACTTTTTTACTGATTGGCCGTGTCGGGTGATGGAGGGTTACGACACATTTATAAATAACGCGATCTCACCCAAAAACGTTGATTATGAATAATATTGGTTGCGAAAGCCCTACGTGTTAAACTAAATAACTTTCGTTGCGCGTCTGAAACCCGGATTCGAACCCACGGTCTCAGCGGAGCCGACTCAGCGTCTCTCTTTACCTCCGAGCCACCGGGTGACCTCAGAAAACGGAACCGATAGCATCGCGACACGGGGGCACACTCACCGCTCTGCAAAGTCGGCTCGATTGAACGATCATTCGCATCGCCGCCGCCACCACCCGACCTCTCGGAGCAAGGGAGCGGGTCTCGCTTACACCCCACATGCGGCGCAGGAATCTTCTCTCCTAGGGTGTCTCCAGGGACACCGCGTCCGCCACGGCCACGCGGCTCGTCCTCCTGAGCAGACATGGCGTAGCGGAGACTGCCGGGGTCCAAACTCACGAGCCGGACAATTCTCGCTCCCTCCCTCCCTCTCTCTCTGTCGTTGCGCCGATCGTCCGAGTCCGCTAAGCGTCCGGATACAATGGGCTCCTCCAAGGTGTCCGTGACCGTGATCGATGTTGTTGTCTGCGTATAGGGAGACAACAATGCGTAGCGTCTGGGTCAAAAGTAGAAACACATTCCTGCGGAGGGAGCTGGTAGGAACGTTGGGTTGCTCGGTCAATGGCCAGGGTCAACGGCGGCGTGGTGTATTCCGCAAATATGCCCGACTGTGAGGGCGGGCACAAGCCGACGTGAGTAGGTTAAACGTTGAGTTTTATAAGGGCACCACGGGGTGACCAGCCCCTCCCCACCCAGCCCCACCCAGCCCCACCCTCCCCACCCAGCCCCTCCCCACCCTCCCCACCCAGCCCCTCCCCACCCTCCCCTCCCCACCCAGCCCCTCCCTCCCCACCCAGCCCCTCCCTGCACGACGGACACAATAATCCCCTGTGGGCTGGTGTAACCAGGAGGTTCCTACTAGTATAATCTGATCTTGATTTGAGGCTTTCGTGACTGCAGGAATTCATAACACTTTGGTTCTTTCGGTAAAGTCACGTGGGTAGAAAACGAAAATAATAAAATAGAATAATCTGTTTGAGATGAAATTTGCATGTTATCTGAATGAGATTTTGATCCCTCGCTCACCCTCACTCACTACAAATATCCCACATGTAGCCTTAACCTACCTTGGGGGCAAACGCTATTAGCGAGCACCTATGACGGCCGGCATGGCACACGAGGGGGTGGTGGGTGACCAGCACCACGTTAACTCACCAACACATGATGACACACTTCAAATCTAGAATGACATGAATACACGCATACGTACACATATTCACCAATACTCACACACGCTCACTCCACCAATACACTAGCACTCACCAAAAGTCACTCATCCATACTCACCCAAGTACTAACACTCACCCGCTTATCCAAAAACTCACCTACTCATCTACTCACTAACCACCACTTACCCCACACACTACCCAACACTCACCGAAACACACCCACCACTCAGCCCCCCCTACTCACCCCACCCCTACTCACCCCCCCCCCCCCCCCTACTCACCCCCCCCTACTCACCCCCCCCTACTCACCCCCCTCCCTACTCAGTCCACACACCCCCCCACTCACCCCACACCCCCCCCCTACTCACCACACCCCCCCCCTACTCAACCCCCCCCCACTCACCCCACCCCCTACTCACCCCCCCCCCTACTCACCCCCCCTACTCACCCTCCCCCCCCGCTGCTCACCACAACCCCCTACTCACCCCCCCTACTCACCCCCCCCTACTCACCCCCCCCTACTCCCCACCCCCCCCCTACTCACCCCCCCCTACTCACCCCACCCCCCCCCTACTCACCCCCCCTACTCACCCCACCCACCCCCCTACTCAACCCCCCCCTACTCACCCCACCCACCCCCTACTCACCCCCCCCCTACTCACCCCACCCACCCCTACTCACCCCACCCACCCCCCTACTCATCCCCCCCCTACTCACCCCCCCCCCTACTCACCCCGCTACTCACCCCACACCCCCCCTTACTCACCCTCACCCCACACCCCCCTCCGCTACTCACCCCCCCCCCCTACTCACCCCCCTACTCACCCTCACCCCACACCCCCCTCCGCTACTCACCCCCCCCGACTCACCCCCCCCTACTCACCCCCCCCCTACACACCCCGCTACTCACCCCACACCCCCCCCTACTCACCCTCACCCCACACCCCCCTCCGCTACTCACCCCCCCCTACTCACCCCCCCCCCTACTCACCCCCCCCCCCTACTCACCCCACACCCCCCCCCCTACTCACCCCCCCCTACTCACCCCCCCCTACTCACCCCCCCCCTACTCACCCCCCCCCTACACACCCCGCTACTCACCCAACACCCCCCCCTACTCACCCTCACCCCACACCCCCCTCCGCTACTCACCCCCCCCCCCTACTCACCCCCCCCCTGCTCACCCCACCCCCGCTACTCCACCCCCCCCTACTCACCCCCCCCCCTACTCACCCCCCCCCTACACACCCCGCTACTCACCCCACACCCCCCCTACTCACCCCCCCCCCTACTCACCCCCCCTACTCACCCCACCCCCCCCTACTCACCCCCCCTACTCACCCCCCCCCCCCCGCTACTCACCCCACACCCCCCCCTACTCACCCCCCCCCCCTACTCACCCCCCCTACTCACCCCCACCCCCGCTACTCACCCCACACCCCCCCCCTACTCACCCCCACCCCCCCCCTACTCACCCCACACCCCCCACCCCCTACTCACCCCCCCTACTCACCCCCACCCCCGCTACTCACCCCACACCCCCCCTCTACTCACCCCCACCCCCCCCCTACTCACCCCACACCCCCCACCCCCTACTCACCCCCCCCTACTCACCCCCCCTACTCACCCCACCCCCGCTACTCACCCCACACCCCCCCTACTCACCCCCCCCCCCCGCTACTCACCCCTACTCACCCCCCCCTACTCACCCCACACCCCCCACCCCCTACTCACCCCCCCCCCCTACTCACCCCCCCTACTCACCCCACCCCCGCTACTCACCCCACACCCCCCCTACTCACCCCCCCCCCCCGCTACTCACCCCTACTCACCCCCCCCTACTCACCCCACACCTCGTGCGCACAGCCGGTGGTGGAAACTCCACGTTCCTATGGCGGCGGCTTTTTTCTTCGGCGCGCGAATTCAATCGAGCGTAGCTCAGCACGTAAGCGGATCGATACGATAGCAGGCAAGGGTTGCGAATGCCGTCTTTACCTTATTGCAATATGAAGATAAAAAACTAAACTACCGTTTAAACTTAAATGTAAAACTCCTCTTAACACGGCTACTGTACTGTACTACTGTAGTTCGCATACAGTAGTCGACCGTGCGAGGCAGAGGTAAAAACAACCTCCGATCTGGCACCGGAAGCCACGAGGCATCGCCCCACCCACAGGGGTGACGTCACAATGTGGGTTGTACCATTGGGGTCAAAAGAAATGGGGGGGGGCGGCGGGGGTTTGGTGGCGATAGTTTGGAATGTACCAAGTCAGTGAAATTTGGACTTTCTCTGAAAAGAAAATAATACAGTGTTCTTGGTTCTTTCGGTGAAGTCACGTAGAAGGGAAATAACAAAATAATAACAATTTAAAACAATAAAATTCTCACGACGTTTTGACTGCAACACAAGCAATCATCAGTTGTGAAATCCACAGCAATAAATTTTTCAATTATATTTTTTCAAATTTTCTTGCTGTGGATTTCACACCTGATGATGATTGCTTGTGTTGCAGTCGAAACGTCGTGATAATTGTATTGTTTTATATTTTTATTATTTTATTTTTTCCCTTCTACGTGACTTTACAGAAAGAACCAAGAATATGAATCCCTGTAGTCACGAAAGCTTTAAATCAAAGTAATACAGTATTAAAAAATTTTTAAGAAACGCTTTAATGAAATGTACCGTATTAGTAATGGAAGAACTCCACGACTCCAGGAAGTGGCCCCGAGGCTTGCCATAACGTAAAGGGCCGTGGTGATTTACAGCCAACGTGAGTTGACCGTGGACAATTAGACCCAAGCCGAAACATAACATATAAAAAAAGAATGTTTAAAAATATTTTTTTTATGATAGAGTATAGTATTGTCATCAGTATGACATAAGTATACCAAGTTTGCAGTCGATACCACATTGGGAAGTGGGTTAAAACTGAGTTACAAGATTTGAGGATACAACAACAGACAGAGTGAGTTAATAGAAAGCGTGTAAATACAAAAAACGCGTTTCTTTCCCATCGCAACGTGAACCAATCTTGCCCCAGCCTGCATCATTGACATGCTGCACCCCCCACGTGTCTCCTCACGGTCTCCAAGATGCGGGGATGGAGATGTTCTCTCTCTCTCTGTATTCGGTCGATGGGTGACCGAGATTTTTTTCCCGCAGCGGTCTGAGAATCTGTGGACATTTTAAAAATGGTAATAGTTGTAAAAAAAAATTAAATGCGCCTTAAAACCTATTCATACGCTTCCGCTTATTACATTTTTAGATAATTTAGTCAACGTTTTTTTAGATGTATCGATAATATTTAAATGTGTATGCCGAATGCCTGCCGCTGCTGTGTTCTGTACATCGCTTTAAGATCATTGATGAAAAGCGCTATGTTCGTCTAATCATTATTAATTATTATCATTAAGAAGGTGGTTTCAAAACTAAATAAATCACTGGATAAGTAGACAAAGCTCCTCGTTCGCATATGTACCCCTCCGTTAAAAAAAATCCCATCATTTTCTTGGTTTTTTCGGTAAAGTCACGTAGAAGGGAAATAATTAAACAATAAAAATTAAACATTTCTTATTATACTCTTAGGATTTTTTCGGTAAAGTCACGTAGGTAAAAATAAAAAATATAAATGAATAATAAAAATCATAAAAATTATAAAAATGATCATAGAAATAAAATAAATTCTAAATCATTGTGATTTATTAAAAATGATAATAAATCATTGTGATTTATTAAAAATGATATTAGAAATAAAATAATAAAAAATTAAATGCGCGCTACAATGACAATAGTTTAAAGCATCTTTTATTTCGGGGGGGGGGGGGCAGAGCTTTGTGACGTCATATTTGAGGGGGGGTCTGACTTTTTGTGACGCCGTGTGACGAAGAGGAAGGGGGGGTCAAAAATCGTCTAAAATCGCGTGACGTCATTTATGGACGGCCCCTTACCCCATCCGCTAAGCCCCCTTCTCTCCACGATTCTCGCCACGAGCTCTCCGCCTCGGATGGTTTTCATCTCCCTCTGTTGAACATTCCTCGAAAAAAAAGACGCGACGTTTCGGTCCGTCGGCCAACGAGTTCCAGCAGGTTTTTGTTTTCAAGCAGTCAAAGCCGAGATCGGTTCCGACATTTTCCGAACGTCATCGGCAGTGGCGTGGCCCCGTTAAACAAATGCCGCCCGCCGTTTCCCGATGTCGTTGACGTACAGCAGTAGCGCCCGACTCGTACCACGTGGGCGGCTACGTTCAGTGGCCGCTAAGTTCGAGACAAACTTCAATCTGCGGCGAATCGCGCCTTCTCGCCGTCAGGTGGCAGTAGTGCACTTCGACTGCTGGCCGAACCGTCGGACATGGTCGATCCGCTGCTGGATGAAGGCCCTTCCCCCGCACCCCGCAAGTCGTCGCCACCTGGCACGAAGCTGCGACGCAGAAATCCATTTCGCAGCGCTGTCGTCAATTACATGACCCTCATAGAATAATAGGGGGTTTTCTCCTTTTTTACTGGCAACAAAACTGAAACCTTTTTTTACGAGGAATCATGTGTGCATTAACCACGATACTTGTGGTCAAAATGCAAGCAAAAAACACACTGATAATATATGGATTGTCCTTGAAACTGATTGGTCCACACCAGAGACGGCTTTCTTTTGAGCCTCGTCTCAATTGGTGTTAGACCAGAGGACGCCAAAAGGCTGTACAGCCTAAAGACAATGCGCTATCAAAATAATGAGGGGTCGGGGTAAGCATCTACATCACTAGCATCTACATCATTAGACCTAATGAAGTAACGGATTGACACGTTTTGTTAACGTGATGAACCTTACTAATTGGCTGTGGTCAGGTGATGGTGGGTTTAATGACACATTTATATTTACACTGTCCAATCCAAAAACCTCTTAAGGATACATTTCCGTAATCTCCGCGATGACAAAACTCACTTTTTTCTAAAAATGACCCCAAAGTTTGGGAGTGCCTTTTGGTCCAGAGAATTCGTTATCAAGAAGCCACCGGTAAGTTCATCCACATGTTGTAAGACCAGGGGTGGGGAACGTCCGACCCGCGGGCCAAATGAGGCCCGTGAAATAATTTGGTGTGGCCCTGCCGAGGCAACCGCAGGCAGGACTCGAAATTCAATTAATCTAGGAGCAAACCTGGAAAAGCAGTTGCGAGTAGCAGCAACATCATCAATACCAGCTAACAACACACGCCTCACCAAAGAGAATCGGTTCCAGCCATCACATTAGGGGTGAAAACAAAATATTGCTGTGGTTTTCCCACCTGATGATGATTGCTTGTGTTGCGACCGAAACGTCGTGATACAATTAATTATTTTTATTTTTATACCTTCGTAACTTTACCGAAATAACCAAAGAGTATGGATCCCCGCAGTCACGAAAACTTCAAATCTAGATTAGGGGTGAGTTAATGAAATGTTTGACCAAATATAACAGGCTAATTTTTAAGTTGATAATTTTGTATGGCCCGCGAATGATGTTATACATATCCAAATGGCCTTTGGCATAAAAAAAGGTTCCACACCCCTACTGTAAGCGAACATTCCACGCCTCGATAATTGGTTCTTTACCCTTCTATCTGGCAACAAAACTGACACCTTTTTGCAAGGAGTCATGTTTGCATAGACCGCAATACCTGCAGTCATAAATACAAACAAAAGACATAACAAAAAGGTGTCAGTTTTGTTGCCAGATAGAAGGGTAAAGAACCAATTATCATATTTTTACTGGCAAATGAGGTCCCCATAGAATTCCACGCCTCGTTTCCATACCCATCTCTCCACACACACAAAACATAAAACTACTTTATTTGTAACACATCCCATCAGCTGCACGTCATTCTGGCAGTGTTTTTCAACAGCATTTGCCAAACGAAAGCAAAGCGCCGTGTCTCATCAGCACAGTCAGGCTCGCTTGAACCAATATGCTGGTCAACTGCCAGATGTGTATAGGCAAGCACTGGTTTCGACATGCGGTGTCTGATCAGCATAGCCAAGCTTGATTGAACTACATCTGGTGAACTGCTAGATGTGTATTAGGCAAGGGCCCTCTCTCTCTGTGTCTTAGATATGAGTTATAACTCCACAATACACAACGCAACAACCATTATGGAGAATATCAACAACAGCCGTGTCCATTCCTTTGTGCTCACGTCCCTTTGCAAAACCGAACGCACCTCAAAATTCCGGTACTTGTGCACCCACGGGCAGCAGAAAAAAAACTAAACTCTAAAAGTGTCAATTTGACCCCGATGCTGATGGAACGTGGCGGCGTCCAGGGGTGGCCGCGATATTCACGGTGAGATTTGGCGCTTCAAAGTTCAAAGCAAGAGGGAGCAGCTGGGTTTGATAATCCCAGACTTGGGTGCCTTTCTGTGCCGAGTTTGTATGTTCTCCCCCTGTTGTGCATGGGCTTCCTCTGAGTTGTGCGGTTTGCTCCACGCAGCTTACAACATCCCACACAGTGCACACCGGTATTGGCCAAAACATCAGAATGCTGAAAGATAACACCGACAAAAATCACTCCGTTTGGGTCACACACAGCGGCGGCTACATCGACCTTTCCTCTACTGCGAAAACGTGGCAGAACCCTCCTGACAAAGAGTCGTGAGACTCGGTGAGGGTAGTCCTGTGTGAACAGGCGAAAGAAAAAGCAACTTGGGTCTCCAGTCCACTCTCCATTGTCATCAAATTCCTTTCTTCCTGAGCCTCGCCGCCGTCTTTCGTTCTTCACCGAGCAGCAACCAACCCCCTTGACCAGACACGTGACATGGGAGGCCTTCATCCAGCAGTGGATTGACAAAGGACTGTACATGAATATCAGCGTTGCGACTGCCATTGCTATGATCTGTGTTTTGATTTAGTGTGCTGATCTTAAAGGTGCATTGAAAATTTGTGATACTCCGACTGATGCTCCTGCTGTTGTGGAGTGACTCATGCAGCCAGCTATGGCTGCAGGGTTTGGTGGTACATGTTGTTTATGTCGTTTATTGTGAAAATTCGGTCACAGTTCCTATGATTACTGTTACATTGCTTTAATGGCTTTATTTTGGTGATTTCGAAAAGTATTTTGGTTTGGCCATGTTTGTTTGTTGGAGTACGGAGTTAGACTGATGGCCTTAA